GAAGCAGCGGTCAGCCTAGCGCTGGGACGCCAGTGTCCCACCCACAGTGCCTGAATTGTGCTTTTGCTTTTTTCTTTTTAAGATTTTATTTATTTATTTGAGAGGCAGTTACAGACAGAGAGAGGAAGAGACAGAGAGAAAATCTTCCATCTGCTGGTTTACTCCCCAAAAGGCCGCAATGGCTGGGGCTGGGCTGATCCAAAGCCAGGAGCCAGGAGCCAGGAGCCAGGAGCTTCTTCTGGGTCTCCCATGGGGATGCAGGGGCCCAAGGACTTGGGCCATCTTCTACTGCTTTCCCAGGCCAAAGCAGAGAGCTGGACTGAAGTGGAGCAGCCGGGACTAGAACTAGTGCCCATGTGGGATGCCGGCACGGCAGGCGGGAGTTTAGCCCACTATACCACAGTGCCGGCCCCTGTGCTTGTTCAATATTTACTGATCTGAAGGCAGAGTGGCAGAGAGAGAGAGGGAGAGAGAGAGAGAGAGAGAGAGAGAGACCGACTGTCCACTGGTTCACTCCCCAAGTGGTTGCAATGGCCTGGATTGGGCCAGGCTTAAGCCGGGAGCCAGGAACTTCATCTGGGTCTCCACGTAGGTGGCAGAGGCCCAAGCATGTCATCTGCTGCCTTCTCAGCCAAGAGCGAGGAGCAACGTTGCATGTGCAGCAGCTGGGACAGACCAGCACAGTGCCTGCGTCTGGCACCCAGCCCCAGCTCCAGCTCCTGTTCACACAGACCCTGGGAGGCAGCAGGTCCCTGCCGTCCACACGGGAGACCCGGACCAACTTCCCAGGCCTGGCTTTGGCTCAGCCCTGGGCGTCGTGGCCATTGGGGGAGTGAGCCAGAGGGCTCGGTTTGTCTGTGTCTGTGTCTTTCTGCCCCTCAAACAAAAACCAAAAAGATTTCAAACTTTGAAACTGTGTCTGAGTAGACCCAAACCTAAGAAACTGTGTCTGAGTAGACCCAAACCTAAGATAAAGGGGGTCTTATCCTTTATTTTTGTAAGTGGGCTCACACCTGGGAGTCGGTTGGAAAAGTGAATTAGAACAGGAAACTGCCAGTTTAGAAGATCTTCAAGACTGAATGTTTTCAGGAAGTCTTAGGAAGAGAACGACCTAGATGCGAACAAACAAGCCAAATCACGGTTCTCCCGGCAGAAACTTCTGGCCCAACCAGACACAAAACCGAGGTGCTCTCCTGCTAGGAACCCAGAGCCTGCGGGCGAGGACCCCCGTGCAGGAGGCAGGAAGGGCCCGGAACAGGAGGACCGGCAGCCACGTGGGAGGCCCGGAAGAAGCGCCTGGCTCCAGCCTGGCCCAGCTCCAGTAGTCGCAGCCGTTTGGGGAGTGAACCAGCAGATGGAAATCCTCTCTAACTCTGCCTTTCAAAATCTCAAAAACCCACAGAGTGTATCTGGGTGCAGAGCACTTTGGAAGCCTCGAATACGAGGGGCTTTCAGGAAGTCCAGGAGACGCACACGTGAGAAAACCAGGCACGGCTCTCCGATTTCTTTTTGCACCCAAATAAGCTTACCTTTCCATTGCGTTCTCCCCAGACTCCCTGCTGGCCCCCTGCACGTGCTGGTGACAGCGCTGACTTTCTGGACGAACTGGAGCAGCTCCTTACCGAGGACACAGCGCTAGCCTGCGGCCACATCCCCCAAACACGCCCAATCGTCTCCTCTCGGGAGCCAGGCGGGGTTGGGCCGGGTTAGGGCTGGGATGGGAGAACGCAGTGTGCCAGGGCTAAGACACCCCAGCGCGTGCTCCCTGGTCGCTTAGGAACGCACAGACACTTCACGGTGAGGCTGTTCGTGGACTGCCCAGGAGTTTCAGTGTCTTCACTACTCCACTCCTTTGGAAGATTAGGAATGAATTTCCCAGAACCGTAAGCTTCCCACAAAGAGGCCTTACCCTGGGGTTCGTCCCCAAGCTCCCAGAGCAGACCCCTGAGTAACCGCGCCTGCGTGCCGGAGCCCTCCCCTGCACACTCACACTTCTGTTACTGAGACCTCTGGTCATGCCCTCCATCTTAGGGAGCTGAGACTGTGCGCTGTGCCACTTAACCTATCCTGCTTTCCTGGCAAACACGAACTCACTCAGAGACTGCCTGCACTGGGGATAACCGCTCTCCTAATTCCAGGCGTCAGCTCTCCCAAGCTAGTGCTAGTGTGGCCAATCAGAGAAAACGCCGTAAAGGACTGATGCGCACCCTGCCGGTTCTGCCCACGGCCCCACCCCCGCCTCAGCAGTGTCACGTCCAGAGGGGGGCTCGCCAGGGCTGTGGGTGACAGGGCAGACAGAGTGCTGTGGGTACTGGACAAAGTGCTCACAGGAGGCCTGCCCCCCTCGAGTGACACGGCACGCAGCAAGCCGAGGCCGGGGTGAGGCTCCACACACCACCCCGCTTGCTGGTCCAAGTGGTCGCCAATCCACAGCCTTGATTTCCTTTTGACCAGCAGAGGGCAGTCTGCACCCCTTCTAGTCAGAGGGAGGCCATGGCAGCTTGGGACCCCTCAGGTCGTGGTTCTCCAGGGCCTTCCAGCATCTTCTCCCAGCACCTTATTTCCACCTGTTTGTCTCAGTCATGCCAGGTTTACGGCCCACAACGTCAGAGACTTGCTGTAGCCAGGGATGACTGAGAGGCAAAAGGGATCAAGGGGTGGGCACACTGTACCCTCAGGGCCAGTGCTGTGACGCAGTGGGCTAAGCCCACACCTGTGGCACCAGCATCCTATACGGGTGCTGGTTCGAGTCCTGGCTGCTCCACTTTTGATCCAGCTCCCTGCTAATGGCCTGGGAAAGCAGTGCAAGATGGTCCGAGGGCTTGGGCCCTTGCATCCACGTGGGAGACATGGAAGAAGCTCCTGGCTTCGAATGGCCCGGCTCCAGCAAGTTGCAGCCATTTGGAGAGTGAACCAGCAGATGGAAGACCTCTCTGTCTCTCCCTCTCTCTCTAACTCTGCCTCTCAAATAAATAAATCTTAAAACAACAACAAACAACCGGAGTGGGTGGGTGTTGTGGTGGAGCGAGGTACGCTGCTGCTTGGGAAGCCTGAACTGCACATCAGAGTGCCTGGTTTGAGTCCTGCTCCTCCACTTCTGGTCCAGCCTCCTGCTCACATGTGCCCTGGGAGGAGGCAGGTGATGGCTCAAACGCTTGGGCCCCTGCCACCCACGTGGATGACCTGGATGGAGTTCCTGGCCCTGGTTTTGGCTTGGCCCAGCCCTGGCGGATGTAGGCATGTGGGAGTGAACCAGTGGATGGAAGAGCGCTCTCTCGCTCTCTCTCTCTGTCTCACTCCGCTTTTCAAATAAACAAAAATAAACTTTAAAGCAACGGGGTCGCATCATGCTGACCCCTACACGACCTGGTGGAAGGCTGGGGACAGTGAGCACCTGGGCAGCCCTGTGGCTGCTCCTACAGCTCTGAGGACGGAGGGGAAGAACACAGAACAGCGCCTGCCGACACCCTTACAGAGACGGCCCGCCCCACAGCTACCACAGCAGGGAATCCCAGAGCTAGCCCGGCGCTCAGTCCAGCAAGGCCACCCCGCCGTCACTCAGTCGCACTCCAGCCGAACGGCTTCCAGGGCAGGCGCGTAACCCAGCCCTGCCCTGCACCCTCCATGGCTCACAGACGAGCAAGCAGTGACCTTGGCTGTTTGATCTCAGACACTAACTGCCGGCCTCCCTTCTTCATTCACTCCACAAACGCTCAGTGCCCGCCACGGCCAGGCTCTGTGCTGTGTGCTGGGCCACAGCGGGGCACTGGACAGCGGGAGGCTCGGGTCCTGGTGAAGCAGACGACGGGCGCACACCAACGCGAGCCTGCGGGAGGCCGGTTAGGGCTGTCGGCTCCAAGTGCCGGACAGCGAGAGGAAGCTGGAAAGTGAGAGGCCGGGAGCAGGTGCAGAGGCGGGCGGTCAGGGGAACAGGAGGGCTGGGGGAGCGCCGTGCCGGCCAGGAGAGGAGCTGGAGGAGGGTGGCTGGGGTCACGGCGAGGCCGGCGAGGCTGGCGGGGAGTAGACGAGGGACGGTGGGAGCCACCAGGCCGGGCGGCGGCAGCCTTCGGCCACCCTGAGAATGTGGGGACTTGCAGTTTCTGGAGACGCAGGCTGGCTGTCCTGGGCCTCAGAGCACAGCAGGGCAGGAGCCCAGGCTCTCGAAGGGCAGGCACGTGGCCCCGGTGCCCAGAACAGAGCCCGGCACACGGGAGGTCAGCCAGCACTGCCGCGGCCAGGGACTGCAGGCGTCGGCCAGAACTTGACCTGCACACACCCATGGCGCCCGGCGCACCCGAGCCAGGACTCGACCTGCACTCACCCACGGCGCCCGGTGCACCCGAGCAGGCGGCTAGGACCGTGGGCCCCACACCCACCCGAGCCCCCAGCCCTGCAGCACCAGCAAGAGCACACCCTCCCGCCTCCCGCCTCCCGCCTCCCCCTCAGCCTGCGCTTCCGGGCCTCGGGCAGACACTGAGCTGGTGCTGCTGCCCGTGGGGGGCCTGGCCTCCACCCCCAACCCCTCCCTGCAGGCTGGCCCCTCTCCCCCACCACAGGCCGGCCCCGCCCCCCGCAGGGTGCCCCACTCACCCCTGCAGGCCAGCCCCGCCCCCCCGCAGGGTGCCCCACTCACCCCCGCAGGCTGGCCCTGCCCCTGCTGGGTGCCCCACTCACCCACACAGGCTGGCTCTGCCCCCGCAGGGCGCCCCACTTACCCCTGAAGGTTGCCCTGCCCCCGCAGGGTGCCCCACTCACCCCTGCAGGCTGCCCCGGCCCCGCAGGGCGCCCCACTCACCCCCGCAGGCTGGCCCCGCCCCCCGCAGGGTGCCCCACTCACCCCTGCAGGCTGCCCCGCCCCCGCAGCATGCCCCACTCACCCCCGCAGGCTGGCCCCGCCCCCCACAGGGTGCCCCACTCACCCCTGCAGGCTGCCCCGCCCTCGCTGGGCACCCTACTCCCCCACGCAGGCTGGCCCCGCCCCCGCAGGGCGCCCCACTCACCCACGCAGTCCTTTCTGTTCCAGTGGAGCCGCCTCCCTGCTGGGCAGACGCACTCGTAGCCGCCCCTGGTGTTGACGCAGCCCTGCTCGCAGCTGCCGTTGTCCATGCTGCACTCGTCCACATCTGGAAGCAGGGGTGCGAGTGAGGGCGGGGGGCCACACCCGCAGGATGCAGGAGGGCGGGGCTGCCCGGGACAGAGGGCCAGGAAGCTCCTGACCCCGTCAGGCAACGCAGGCACAGAGCCACTGGTTACACATGCACCGTGCACACGCACACACATGGGCAGGAGGCTCCTCACAGACGCCCCCCGGGCGAGAGCCCCGGCCCAGGGTTTGCTGGGCACATATTGCGGGGAGACTCTGGGTACGTCCTCTTCCCAGCCGGTCTCCCGGCCTGTGCCCGCTGGGCCCCACGCTCTGAGCGCTCAGCTGCCCGACGCCAGGGGCGGTGCCCAGGGTCTGAGGCTCCTCCCAGAAGACCACAGCCACCTGCAGCTGCCGCCCCGGAGCTTCGAGCTGCCCGGGAAAGTGAGTGTGCAGGCCCCAGGCTCACTGTCACGCCTGCCCTACTCAGCGCGCAGCTCCGCTCCTCCGTAGGCCTAGCAGTGCCCTCCGCGCCGGCACCTGCAGCTGTGCCCCCACAGGCGTCGGGGTCGCCCATGCTGAAGCTGGCCAGGGCTCCCCACCGCACAGAACAGACCCTGGCGGCCCCTGAGGCTCAGCTGCACCACTAGCTTCTGCCCGAGCCCCTTCTCTCCCGGCTCCAGCCGCAGGAGCTGCCCTGGGCCCACTGCTCTACCTCTGGCCTCAGCGCCTCTGCACACACAAACCCCTCTGCAGTGCCTCCCTGTCTGGACCGAACGTCCCCCTGGGGGATGCCCCTCCCGCTGCCAGGACTTGCGGTGGGATCCCGGGACACTGCCGGCCCTCTTCCTGCACTGGGCTTCTCCAGTCCACGAGGAGCTGGGCCTGGCCCCACACGTATCAGTGCCCCCCCTCCCGTGCCCCATCACTCCCTGACGCCGTTGCCTGACCCCTCTGCCCACCAGTCCCGGCCCCCCCGGGGTGCGGTGCAGGTGGCCTTGCGGCCAGGCGCGTGCCTCGAGGGCGCGGTGGCCCTGGCGGGCGGGCTGCAGACCTCCGCAGTGGGCCGTCCCGTAGAGCGCGTAGCCGCGGTGGCACAGGCACTGGAAGCCGCCCGGGGAGTTGATGCAGTCGTGGTCGCAGGTCCTCTCGAAGGAGCACTCGTCGATGTCTGTGGCCACAGGGAGACAGAGCGGGGCGGGGCTGCAGGGCTGCGCGGTGCGGGCCTCCCACGGCTGCCTGGTTTTCCGCGGTTGCTGGGTTCACAGCCACCTCACTTCTCTCCTGGGGCCTGCCCGAGGGCTCTGAAGAAGCTGGGAAGTGGGACCAGGCCTCCGGGGTGCCGACCGCTGCTTCCCATCGCCCTAGGACGTCTCAGAAAACGAGGAAAGCAGCACACGCAGGGAGGCAGTGGGCGGGAGGCTGGGCCACCCGCAGGACGGCAGGACGTGCACTGACCGCCAAGGGCAGAGGGAACGAGGGCTGGCCGCAGAGCGCGTGCTCCTGGGCAGAGGACCCAACCCGCAGCTCGCAGACAACGCTGCGCTGGACACGGATTCTGGGGAAAACGGCCTCTGTGAGACCACACGGCCAAGCAAGCACTGAGCTGACCTCCCTCGCCACTCAGAGCGCGTTCCCTGAACACGCAGCTCCGTGACGTCACACACACACCACACAGGCGTGTTCAGAAGCAGAATCCAAGGAGGCAGCTGCGCTGTGGGCGCTCAGGGAGGGCGTGGCCTCCTGGGGTGGCTGGGCAGACCTCCTGGCCACACCTGCAGGATGGGCCAGCTTGGGCCGAGGGAATGAGGCTGGAGGGAGGGTGACCCAAGCAGAGGCTGGGAGGTGGCAGCTCGGGGCACCCAGGGGACTGTGAGGTGTTCCAGGGGTCTGGGGAGGTCACTGAGGTCCCCACCCTGGGGGCCTGGAGCCTGGAGCCCTGCTTGCTGGACCTGGGGAGCCCAGGGCCAGAGCCTCAGCAGGGTGAGGGGAGGGGGGAGAAGACACAGGCAGGGCTGCAGGGCTGGAAGGGAGAGCCCTGGCCCAGGGCCCTGCTGTGTGTGGGGGGGGTGGGGATGCAAGGGCAAGGGCCCTCCTAGCCTTCTGCAGAACTGGGTGAGGCCGGCCAAGAAGCAAAGTCCAGAGCAGCCCTGACCAGGCCTGGACAGACACGGTGCTCCTGCTGACCCTCCTGCCCCGGAGGGGGACAGCACTGCAACGCCCACCATGGATGAAGATGCTGAGCCTGGTCACATCCCAGCCCCTCCCCGCCAGCCTCCTGCTCTCACCTTCCCTCGATCCCTCCCTGGGAAGCCCTCCCTGTCCACATCCAGGGCTCCTGCTGCATCCCACTTGTCTGCTGGACTTGCTCTGGGCTGTGGTTCCTGGCTTCTGCCCAGACCTCTCTTCCTGATACCTGTTCCTAGCGGGTGCCCGGGAACCCTAAGGAAGGCGTGTTGGCGAGCACCTGCAATGTGTAATGCTGCCACCAGGTGGCAGCATCACATACCACGAGCCTGGAAGAGGCCCAGGGGCACCAGGCAGGGCAGGGGTGGGACAGGGGTGAGGACCTGGACCTGTGCTGATGGCTCCCTGGAGAGCCTCTTGAGTCATATGGACAAGGCAGGCAGGGTGGGCAGGAGCACATGCTGAGGACTGGAAACCAAGGCCCAGCCCCGCAAGAGCGGCCAGCCCTATGAGTACACTTCTCTCCTGAGAGGTGCCCGAGCCGACGTCCCAGCCCCGGGCGCTCACCTTGGCACGTCCGCTCGTCGGTCAGCAGCTTGTAGCCCTTGCGGCAGCCGCACTCGAAGCTGCCCACGGTGTTCCTGCAGAAGTGGTCGCAGCCCCCGTTGTTGGTCAGGCACTCGTTGATGTCTGCGGGAGCGAGGGGCAGGCGTGCGGCAGAGACTGAGCCGGTGCCCGGCTGGGATGGCCCCACACCTGACTTGCCCGCTCAGAGCTGGCCTCAGGACCCCAACTGACTCACAGACACGGGGCCGGGGGCTGGGCTGCCCCGGGAAGGCCCCGCTGCCCCACGCCCCACCACCTCGCCTGAGACATGGAGAGCTCGGCGTCACTGCCCAGAACACAGGGCCTGGGATCTGCTGTGCCGGGCAAAGCAGCCGGGACGGGGCGGCCCCGGTCCTTCATCTGCACACCCAGGGCGGCTGCCGGGGGGCAGGGAGGCTGCAGCGGGTGAGGACCCCCGGAAGCCTCCTGTGTGCCCCACTGAGCAGTCGGGAGGCCACAGGAAGCGGGGAGAGCTGGATCCAGGAAGGAGGGCCTGGGCCAGCTGGTGAGCGGGAAGCTGGGCTGCCGCAGGCCTTACTGACCGCCCGGCCCCGTGCCGGCCCCCACCGGCCTTTCGGCAGCCTCTTCACTCAGCAGGCGGCCGTGGCTAGCTCTGAAGGTCACCTGGCCCTAATCCCCTGGGACAAATGCACTTCCTGAGCACCCCGCCAGTCGGCCTCTGCTTGCATACCTCTAGAGACGGGGAGCTTTCTCCCGCACAGCCTGGCCTGCTGGCGGACACGCCACGCATCCACGCATCCAGGCCTGAGCACAGCCATGACCCCTGTGCACCCCTCCCCCACACCCCCACACTGCTCCCTCAGGCTTTGCCTGGGGGGCCCCAGGCCAGCTTGGCATCTGTGCCCCTGGAGGTCTGGTCCCCCAGGGACCTCCTCACCAGAGACACAGTCCAGGTATCCCCTGGGGTGCCAGGCCCCCACGCCAGTCACCGCTCCAGACACAGGCCTGCGCTCGGCGACAGTGAGAGACGACCTTCATGACAGTGGTCTCATGCTGGTTTGGAGCAGGAAAAAGAACGTGATGGGCAGCACCTCCCCCTGCTGGCTGCTGGCTGGAGGTCCCAGCCACGCTGAGCCTGTGAGCCCGTCCTGCGGGTGCGTGCTGGGCCACAGTGATGGGCAGTGCCCCCGAGGAAAATGTGCCCACTTGACAGGTGGGGGGACTGTGCCCCAGAGATAGCGACTCTGTCCTGCACGGAGCCTCTCCCCAAACCACGCAGGCTGGTGGAGGGCCGGGGGTCCCGCATGGGCATCCTGGCACCCGTGGAGGTGGCCATGCCAGGGGCTTTCTGGCAAACATGTGATCATCCCCTCGGCTGGAGAGCAGAGACCCCCTTCTGCAGATGGGGTCACAGAACCACACCCAGCCCTGCCCGTCTCTTAAGACGGGAGGCTGATGAGCCGTGTGGCCTGGTCTGGGGCCGGGGCCGGGGGACCCCAGGATCACAGGAAGCTGCGGAGTCCCTAGCTGCAGCAGAACAGAGAACAGCTTGGCTCAGCTGTGCGGTGCCTTTCCTAGCACGGCCTCTCATCACTTCCTACTAAGATGAAAGGGGTCACTACCTAACACCTGCCTCCTCGGGAATGCCGCAGGCCTTCCGGAAGCTCCTGTCCCTGCCCCTTCCCCGGCAGAGCCTGTCTGCTACCGGGCTGTCATGGCAACCAGACGGGAGAGGCAGGCATGTTTGCTCGGGCCCAGGCTGGGGTGGCCGGCGGCCTGGGGTCAGAGTGGGGGAGCCCCTCCTCCAGCCACACAGAGGGGGTCTGCGGGGCTCAAGGCCCTTGGGCCTCCTTCCAACAGCCCCCCAGGGATGCAGCTCTTGCCCCTCTCCAGCTCCCCAAGGCAGGCTGCCAGCTGCACCTTCCCCAGTAAACATGGCCGCGCCCCTACCTGCTGACACGTCTGCAGAGGTCCGGGCCCCAGGATGGAGGGCCAGCTCCCGCGCAGGGGCTCACAGTGCGGGCCCAGCTGCCTTGCCTCCTCGTGCACAGGTTCGGCTCCTGGCCCGGCAGCTGGGACCTGGCCACCCCACCCAGCCCTGAGATGACACAGGGGACCTGCTCCTGTTGGTGCCCTAGGGCCTAGGAGGGTCCCGAGTGAATGCGCGAGTCCGGGTGACCCCAGACCACGGGGAGGACCTGCCAACCCGAGGAAGGCTCTTGAGCCCTGGGGTGGAAGCTGAGTGCACCCCAACGCTGGAGCATGCGTTGTGCGGTGCAGGGTAATGGGGTGAGCTGCAGGAATGCAGGAGAGGCCGACAGACTGCTCCCTTCCACCCATCCTCCTAAGGGGGAACAGCCTGGCAACGGGGGCCAAGGGCAGCGCTGCTGTGGAGCGCCCAGCGGGGCGGGCGAGATGCTGGGCTGGCCTAGCCAGGTGGAGGGCAGGCGAGGGCACCTCCACCCTCCCCCAGAGAAAAGCCCCGGCAGGTCGCCCGCCTGGCCCGGGGCCTTGGGGAGGGGGGGCAGGAAGCAGTGGGCGGGGGTTCTCCCAGACTGTTCTGGAAGGTTTTCCCTGAGGGAGAACCAGGGGGGTTGAATTCCTAGAAGGATCAGTTAGCGAGGTGCCCACCTCCAATATCAAGAATCCACGACACCAAACAGGAGGCTCGGGACCGGACCCCTGCCTGGTCCACTCTGCAAACAGAGCTCGGGCTCGGCCGCGTCCTTGGCGCTGAGGGAACACTGCCTTCCACCCGCTCCACCTGCTCTCGCCCTCCCCGCCCGCCCAGGGCCCTGAGCTCTGGGTTTCCCAAGCCTTCTGCTATGCCCCTCCTGCCCTCCATCTGCTTGACAATGACTTCTGGGCTTCCAGAAAACACCGAACCTTTGATATCTCCCCTGGAGCCCTGCCAAGTTCAGGGTGTGCACTCTCATTGTGCAGCCCAGACCCTGCGGGCCGGGGCCGCGGGCTCACTGGGAATCCCCTACTGGGCTTGCCCCGGCCAAGGCCCTGCACCCTGCCTGCGCCTCTCCAGCCAGGGCCAGGAGACCCCAAAGCAGCCCGGAGACCACCTGGCCCTGCAGCTCTAGGCCAGCTCCTCAACCCTCACTCTTGACACCCGCAGAGCATCGCCACCGCCTCCTCGCCCCCCACTGCCACCCTTGCCCGAGCACTGTGCCCCCTGGCCAGGCCTCACTGCCGCTGCAGACCCTGCTCAGAGGCTGCTGCCCTGGCGGTGGCCAGGGAAGGTTTGCAAACGAAAACCTGGCTGGCACCACCTCCACCCGGCACCACTGGGGGCTGGCCGGCCTCTCGCCTGGCTCGCAGGCCCTATCAGCAGCCACAGCCGGGAAGTGCTGCTCAGGCTCCCCCACCCCAATTCCTGTGTCAGCCCCAGGGCCTCCCTGCCCGCCCCAGCCCGCAGCCCAGGGCAGGCCTGGCCCGTGCCCGCCTGCCCTGCTGCCCTTCTCTGCCCACCACGAAGCCGTCTGTAGTGCAGCTTTATCTCATCATTTCTAACATTCGGGTCTGTCTTCTGTACTCAGGAACTCTCTGGGGTCTGGGGTCTCTTATTCACCCAGCTCCCCTGCACCTGCACCCCACAAGAGCCGGGAAAACCCACCTGCCACAGGAGCACCACCTCCGGACCCAGGCCAGCGGCAGTGAGGCCCCAAGGAGCGCAGTGGCTGCAGCAGGGCCAGGGCTCCGCGTCCAAGCCCTGGGAGCTGGCCTGAGAGCTGAGCAGCGGAGCCTGGTCACAGGCCCTGCTGTTTCAGGAAGAGCCATGGGGTGGCGGGGCCGCAGCTGGGGGCTTGGGAATGGGGTGTGGTGTGGCAGTCAGTGAGCGTCGCCTGGGCCAGCAGGGGTGGGGTGGGGGCAGGATGCCCGCCCAGCCTCTTTCTGGCCCAGACAGGTTGGCTCCCAGCGGTGAGCCCCTGGCTTCCAACTCCTCATTCCCGGCGCCCTGGCCCTGCCCTCAGGAATCCAGCTCGGCCCTGTCCCTCTGGCTCTGGGTCAGGCCTGCACCTCAGAGGGAGGCGGCCTGGCCAGTGCCACCCTCTTCTGGCCCAGGGTCCTGGGCGAGCAGCCGGCCTGCCGTGACTTCACTGGGTGGTGGGGCTGCCAGACCCACAGCGCCCTTGGCACCAGGTGCCTGTGGCGAGGACTCGGATGCCACCCACCTGCCTGTCCGCCTGCCAGGGAGGCGCCCCGGCTACTAACAGGCCGCACAGTGCTTACAGAAGGGCTTTATTTTCAGATAGACAGGCGGAAGAACTGTGATTTCTGTCAGTGGCCGCCAGGTCCTCCCCAGCAAACGGGCAGGGAGGAGTCCCACGCGTCTGCTCGCTGCTACAGGCTCGCACAAGCCCACCTGGAACCACTTTAAGTCTCCCGGAACCTCCACTTCTGACATTCCACGGCCTGGGCTCTGGAAGCCCGAGGTCCTCTCCTCTTCTGCCCCCTGGCCCCATGCCCTTTCCTGCAAGGTGACAGGGAGCAGGGGCCAGGGCTGGAGGGGCGCTGGAGGCTGGTGGAGGCGCAGGCAGCGCCGAGTGGCTGCACCCAACTCCCCCCGAGCAGGGGCCTTGGTGTTCGTGCCCAACCCCCTGCCCTAAGGGCCTGGGCTTCTTGGGGGTCCCCAGTCTGCCCCCCTTTGCCTGGCCCGGTTCTTGAGTCGCTGGTCCTGGCCCCCTGCAGGGCTGGTCCCTTTCTCCCCGAGCGCCCAGCCCTGGAGCTCAGCCAGCCTCCTCCTCCCTGAGGGTCCCTGTCACCCCAGGGGCACCCAGTATTCTGTGGGGGATGAGGGGACTATAAATCTCCCCTTCCTCTCACCGTAGCAGCCACCCCCAGGCCCCCTCACTCCCTCTATAGCATGCAGAGTCCTTCTGCCCCTGCCCCTCTGGGGAACCCCACCCCACCCCACTCCACCCCACCGGGCCACTGCCACACGGCGTCCTCAGCTTTCCCGGCAGTCCCTGCCAGCTCTGTAAGAGCAGCCACAGACAAGGAAGCGTGCCACACTCCACACCTTGGGGAGCCCAAGGCCCCGGAGGCCCAGGACGTCCTGCCTGTTAACCCCACCGTGCAGCCAAACTCTCCTGTCCGCCCCTTGGCAGCCTGGGGCCCGCTGCTGTGCTCAGGAACCCTGCTGGGGACCTGGGGCTCCCCGGCCTCCCCTCAGCCACGTGGGTGGCTGCTGAGTGTCGCGCCCGGCTGTGCGCACAGGGCCCAGCTCCGCACGGCTGACCTTTGCAAGTCTTCCCATCTGGCTGCAGTGTGAATCCAACCGGACAGCTGCACCGCACGCCCGTGGCCGTGTCCTTGCATGTCCGGTCGCAGCCTCCGTTGTTGACCGCACACGTCTCTGGGGAGGGAAAGACACAGACGCTCACTCCCCCGCTGCGGCAGCCATCGCCACCCCATGCATGGGGACACGAGACCTGGGTTCCAACTGCCTCTCTAGGCTGCCGGCTCCCCAGCTGTGGAGCCGTGGGGCTGCTGGTGAGGCTGCAGAGGCCGGGGCTCACATCCGGGGCCCCAGTCACTCTTGAGGCCAGCACTGAACATGGGCTGGCTGCTATTTAGCTGCCCAGGGCCAGATTCCTACAACAGGGCTCTGGCCCCAAGGGAGGTTCTCAGCCCCGCCCCATCCGCCCCCTTGATGTGGCTCTCGGCCCCACATCTGTCCTCACTGAGTGGGGAGCCGAGGCAGCTGCTCTCTGTCCACTTGACACCTGTCTAGTGCTCTTTTTTTCTTTTTCAAAATTCAAAGGGCTGGAGTGGCCGGGGGCTAACTCGGGTCACGGCAGTCGCTGTGTGGTGAGAGCGATCCTCTCCAGGCCCGGCAGAGCGGCTGCCCCAGGAGCCCCTCTTCCAGACCTCAGCCTTGCATCTGGACCCTCCCCAGCACCCGGCAGACGCTGCGCCCGAGCGCACTCCCCTCCCCTCAGACTGGACCTGACTCCCGGGCTCACCGCGGTGCCCGGCCTGGCGCAGCTCCTCCCTGAACCTCCTCGCCGGTCCCGCTGCCAGGCACTGCCCTCTCTGGGATGTGCTTGGGATGAACACATGGAAACACCCTCGGCTGCCAGGAGTCCCTGCTGCTTACTTGGAATTCACGGTGGCGTCCTTGGAACTTCACCTTGGGCAGTGCAGGGACCTGGTGTCTGTGGCTCAGCTGTGGCCAGTGGCCTGCTCGTGGCTACTCTTTCCCGTCGTGGGCGCTGCTGAAAGGCGGGGCTCCTTGGCCCCTCAGCGTCCCCACAAACCCTCACCTGGTGCCCTGTCCTGCAGCGTGCTGTTCTGTGGCTGGAGGCCTTGTCCCTGTTCACCCAATGCCCTGCTCACGGGCACCACTACAAGGAGCCTCCCTGGGGCCCCAGATACGGAGACCAAGGCCCTCCCTGGACTTGGACGGGAGGGTCTCCATGCCAAGATCTGACTGGCACCTGGCCCGCTGATCCCCGTTGGACAACGGGGGTGGCAGGCCAGGGAACCGACCTCAGCTGTCACTCGCAGCACCCACACTGGGGGATGGAATACACTCCCAGCTTAAAAGCTCCTGGCCCAGAATAGTTGTTCAACAAATGCTGGTCTCCTCGCCTGGACCCACCGCACAGAGGGCCCTGCCTCCCACTGCTGAGCAGAAGAGCTAGTGCACCCCCACTGCCCCAACAGGGCCTTCGCAGCCTCTCACGTGGGACGGCCCCTTCCCGGGGCGGGGATGAGGAGGGAGAGTGGGCCTGCGCGCCAGGTGCAGGTAGTCAAGGCTCTGGCCTCGGCAGGGAGCGGGAACTGTGTGTGTGTGGCGGCGAGGGAGCAGGCACTGGGTGCCGGGCCTCTTTAGTGGTGGGGGCAGGGTGCATGCAGGCACTGGGCTGGGTCTCCAAGGAGTCCGCAGCTCCCGTCCACCGTTAGACGCCTGATGGGACTTGGAATCTGACCTTCCAGAGCCAAGGGGCTCCCGGGGGCCTGCTGGCCCTGCCTGCCCATTGGATGGAGAGAGGGGGCTGGGGCCGGGCCTGAAAGGTCGCCCACTGCATGACTCTCTCCCTGCAGTGGGCAGCTCTGGTCTCCCTGTGTGGTCCTGTCTAGTGGTCAGAACATCAACTTCAAAGAAAGGGGTTCTGGGCTCCTGAACCCCAGGCAGGGCCCTGGGGACTTCCTGGGTGCTGAGCAGCCATGCACCATGCCTGGTTGTGGTTCCCACACCACGTTTTTGTGCCCCACCCTCACAGCTCCTGGCCCTCCATGTGCCTGGCCGTAGAGACCGAGAGGCAGTCTACACTGTGGATGGGACCCCCATCGGCCTGACTGCCCCACGGCTGTGTCAGGGCAGTGCTTGCCAGCAGTCCTAAGTCTCCGACTCTGCTCAGGGGCCTGCACAACCACACAGGTACCCCAGCCCCCAAGGACCCCTGCTGCAGCCAGGGGCCCAGGGCCCGGTCCACTGCTTCCTCCAGCCCCCGCTCTGACGGCTGCTGTCCTGTCGTGTCACTGCATCCCAGCAGCCTCTGCTTCACTCTGGGTAGCCCGAGATGTGTGCCCACAACCCAGAGCAGCATGGAGTCTCCCCGGGTGGTCTGCTGGGGACTGAAGCCCACCCCTACAGGAGGGGCTGAGGTTTCCCAGCACAGGCTCCCTTGCTATCTGCCTGGGGCCCTGCCCAGCCTTGCCACTTGGCCCCCAAGACCAGAGGCCACGGCTGCCTCCCAGGGACTCAGAGGGCAGACATCCCTGTCCTCTCCTGAGTGGGCGTCTCCACCACGGGTCACCCAGGCACAGCGACGGGAACTGGCCCTGGGGGCTGAAGGCAGATGGGGCTCCACAGGCACCCTGGGGCTGGGACTGAGCACAGCCTCGAGGGCTGGCAGTGGGACTGCAGGGAGGCGGGTGTAGGCAGGCCTCCTGGGGTTTGCTCCCATGGCTCTGGGGGAGGATCTGCCGTGGGAGCCAGGAGCCCTCCCGTGCCTCCTGCTCCTGACAGCCCAGAAAGCACTTCTCATCCACTGACCCCAGAGGCCTCACAGCAGCCAGGGGTGGCTCAGAGAAGTTAGGGAGTGCACGCAGGCAGGACTGGCTGCACAGCTTGGGGGACCCAGTGAGAAACACAAGTGAGGGGCCCTTGTTCAGCATTCGTGGAGAATTTCCAGACAGACCAGCAGTTGGCCTCCTCAGGCCGGGGCCCTGGCCACGTCTGGCAGCTGTCAGGAGCCAGCACCTGAGCCCAGGGCCGCACGATGCCAGGCGGGCGAGCGCCAGGACCAGGCCAGGGGGCAGAGCAGGCAGCCCGCAGCAGGCGACACCTGCCTTCCCCGGTGGGGTGGCGGGAGGGCCAGCCTGGGCCAGCTGTGGCTCCACAAGGGAGGGGGAGACCCTGACGAGTTAAAAGGCCCAGTCCCTCCCCTGGGGCTAGGCCACCGAAGGACAATCCTGCAGAACACACGCGTTACAGAGACAGACAGGACTCCACTGCCAGCCTTGGGAGCTTGGGCCCATCCCCCACTTGTCCAGCAGCAGGGTGACAGTGCCGTGTGGGCTGTCACACAGCTGTGAGCCACATGCACTCTCCGGGCAGCCCAGGGTCCGAAGCCGATCCACTGCTCTGCTCTGGTCGCCTAGAAGCCAGTCCCGGGGCGGGTGGGGGAGCTGCAGCTGGACCTGACATGCCCCATTGTCTACTTCATCAGGGAGACAAAGCAAGGCACAGAACTGGGCCCATCTCTCACACGGCTGCCTCCACTCCATGCCCTACCATAGCCCTGACTGGGGCTCCACAGGGTTCAATGGGATGACTCCCTCGGCCTGACATAATTAAGCCTGGGGACTCAGAGCCCACTTTTCCCCCAAGGGCATTTTCTGAGCCCCTCCCTGGCCTCTGACCCCTGGGACAGCACGGTTTACCTACGTGGTGGTTCCCCCATCAACCGCACGGCCTCCAGAGCTACGTCAGGGCTCCCCCTGCCCAATGCCCTGCACGGGCCACTGCAGCAGAGGCCAGTAACCTGTGGGGACAGGAATGGAATGGAGCAAGGGCCCAGCTCCTGCCAGAGTCAAGGGCCCTGGAGGCTGCAGCTGAGCTTGGGGGGTGGGGGAGGGTGCTGAACAGTTGAGTCCCCGGCTGAGGAAAGCCAGAGCCGCCTGCAGAAGCAGGCCACAGTGGAGTGCTGTGATGGCCCGCCAGGCTTAGCACAGCTGCACCAGGGAACTCTGGGTCCAGCGTTCTCCCCTCTCCAGGCCCCGGGTCCCCACCTGCAGCCTCAGCGAGGACTCCTCACTGGTGCAGGGCCGGCCTTCCCCAAGACTCTCACCCAGTAAGTCCCCTGTGGGCCTAGTGCCCACGGCCACCCTGCCCTTGAAGGCTCTGAGTGTGCCCTGTCAAGGCCGCCTCAGGGTTAGTCCTGCTGCCTTCCTCCCACTAGAGTCAGCTGTGAAGGGGGCAGTGACTGGTCCTCTTGGCCTGTTGACCCTGACCCCTGACCTTCCTCCTTCAGTGACTGGCCCACACTGTGGCCCTGCCTGAGGGGCCCTCTGGGCTCTGGGCATGCCCTGTGGCCCACTGTTAGAACTGAGCTGCAGGCCATGTCCTCAGCAGGGCAGGTGCTCAGGGCCAGTGGCCTGGCCTTAACCTCACTGCCCCGGCATCCTGCCTTGGCCAAGTGTCCACCCCAAGGCCCACTTGCTGCGGAGGCACTGGGGAACGTGCAGCTGATTGTGTGTGGGGCTGGAGACGGGGGTCAGGGCAGCAGGAGGCGGGGGGCTGTGCAGGCCAGGACTGCAGGACCGCCAAGGTCAGGGCTCCTAAAGGGGAAGTGGGAGAGGACACCTGGAGGCCCCGGCCCAGCACGCACCCTGCTCTTGGCTGAAGCCAGCTGGACCTCTCCGCCCACGATGCCCAACGCGCTGCCGGCCTCAGCTACGTGCTGGGCTCCGTCTTCCGAGCACGAGGCTCAGCAGCTCCGAGGCTCGTGAAGGCCCTCGCCGACTGGCTGTGCAGAAACACAAGGCCTGGCCCCACCTCGGGGGACCTCCACCTACCGAGAACTGCCAGCTCGGGGCTCTGTGGAACTATCTCCCAAGGGCGCCAGCTATGCCGGGAGAGTGGCAAGCCACCCCCTCACATGCTGCCGGCCAGGTGGGCAATTTCTCCCAGTGCTTGGGAAGCAGAAGCCATGTGGGTCTGCAGCAAGGGACTGGGGGAGCCTGCGGGCTGGGGAGGCCTGGAGAGAAGGCTGTGGTCAGGGGTCGAGACACGTGGACCTCAGGAGAGGCTTCCTCGTGTGGCTGCATCTTAAGGCAAGTGGTGGGGCAGGCCCCGGCAGCACGTCTATTCCTGCCTGGGCTCTGGCCGTGGAGTGGACAACC